GTGCAGTCGAATATGAGCGGGTCGAAAACGGGTAATGGAAAACGAATAAATTATCCGACTCAACCCATACTTAATACCGATAGAAAATGGATTAACCGGCGGACGATATGGATATCCATGATTTCTTGAATATGATCACTTTTGGGAGAATTCCTAGTCTCCCAAACTTGAAGAACCCTTGAGTCTTTGCAAAATGTAAAAGTTAAACTCATTGGTCATATTTGACCCTTTTTAAAAAGTTCATTATCTCAACTCATTTTTCAGTGGATAATATGGATGGATAACTGTTTTTTTAATCCATTTTGCCAAACACTATTTCATGTGGTCATAATTCTAATGTTCCTCATGTCAAAGATATCTCTACATCTTCTTAGTTAGAACTGCGCAGACTTGTGACACTCAGCCTTGATTTGCAAGTTATATATTTCCTCAAATAAGTATAAAGATCATAGAAGGACTAGAATATTATTGCGGTTCTTCCTTTATTGAGTTAGCTAAATAAGATCAATATTCTTATTATTTTCAGGAGTTTAAACTTTTTTCAAATTTTAATTTATAACTAAGACATATTTTTAATAATATTTTTATGATTTTTAGAAATGGTATACTCTTTGATACATCATATATGCACATTGTGTATGCACAGATTATTCCTAGTGATACATATAAGATGCTTAGTATATTGAACAATAAAATAAAGACAACAAAAGTTCTTTTTAGTCGTATAAAAAAGCCATAAAGCATATACTGTATCTTATAGTAATACTTTATGAAAATTACTAAACAAACTATTAATGTAATTTTTAAATATTTTTATTCATTGAGATGGGTACACACGCATCCCGCTATCTATATCTATACTATATTAAAAGCACGAAGCTCCCTTAGCGAAATGTAGTGTGTGCCGATTAAGATCGGATTTAAAGGTATATTTTTTTTTTAATTTTATTTCTCATTCATATTGTTTCTATTTATGTTGTTACGCTTTTTATTACTTATGTGAATATGTAATATATTCAAGTTAATACTTATTTTGCTAGAACCATACTTATAAAGAAAATAGAGAATTATTTCCAAAAAAATTGTACGTCTTAGATTAAAATTGAGGCTAATTAGTAGTGTGAAAGTTTTGGCATAAGAATACTTAGCAGAAGTTTTGGTTATGTTTGATAGATCTGCCTCAATAGTCCAATGAGCATGTATCGTGTACATACTTAATTTGGTTGAATAAAATTTTCCAGTTAAACCAAAAACAAATTAAAACTGATTGTTCCATAAACAAAGTCAAACTAATGAGGAGAAAAATAACTAACTTTTAATTTATACACAAAGTAATCATCGGATGCTTTCTTTCTTTCTTTAAATTTTTATTTTAAAACTCAAATACGTTATTTAATATTGTAGTTAAATAATTTTAAAAATCGTATACTCATTAAATTAGGGTTCACGCGCAAAGCGCGTATCTAGAGACTAGTCTCTCTTATTGTACTTGCTACATCAATCATGGCGTACAGTATTAAATACAAAAGCCTAATTTGACGCAAGACAGAACCCAAATTGATATTAGTCACCTCGAGCAAACCTAAAAACCCAAAATCTCCAAATAATTTTTTTTCTCCCCCGTTATACTCTTAGACTAACATGCATTCTAATGCCAAATCCTGAGAGGTTCCCATTTGACTTGACTAAACTAAACAACCTCTTGAACAGTAAAGACTGAAAATACGACAAACAATTGCTGGGAGAAGATCAAAGTCACTTTAATTTTTGTAACCAAAAAGAGCGAATTTTGTGCAATGAGCAAGAGTTCTGAAAATAGAATTATTATTTGGCGTTATAAATGCCATTTAGCAAAATATAAGAGCAGCATGATGTTGGTAATGGGACAAAGGAGGGAGCATAGCAAAAATACACATCCTGCTCCAAGGCGAAATCAGCAAGAGGCTATTAGACTGCAGATTATGGCTTTTATATACATGGTAGAGATTGCAATATTGCTTGAAAATTCAATCACAAAATATGCATCAAACATTAATTACTACAGAACTTCTTTTCGATTAATCGATCAATCCCACGAGATTCTATAAATTCTCTCCACTCACTCCTCACTATTAGTGTCCACTTCATTCCAATACAATTTTGGAGAAACTGACACAGGCGGAGCTTTACTATAAGCATCCCGCAGCTACACAGAAGCAAGGGCGTGTGACAAAGTGAAACTATTAGTAAAACATTTAGGGAATCAAAACAGGGTCTGAATAATGTTTTCTTTTTCTAATTATTTTAATAGCATAAAATTTCTGTTAATTAAAACACTAACCGTCAGACGATGAGGAACCACCACCAACAGGAGAGCGACGCCTGTATTTCCTGTTAGCTGCATCATTGGAGAGCTTACGGAATGCCCCCTTCGAATCAACATTATCTTGCGGTGAACTTTTCCCATTTAAGTCCATTGTATTTAACCTGAAACAAAACGAATACATATTCAAATTTATTACTCCAAGAAACTTTAATCAGGCGAAAAAAGAAATTGACCATCCCCTTACTTATTATTTTGAAATTGGAAAGGTGAAATTTGAACAAAATATAACCCAGGTTCTTGAAATTAGAAATGAAAATTTAGGGTTTGGAGAATTCAAGATATAAATCAAGGGACAAACCTTTTCTGTGTGGGTATTTCAAGCTAAACGACAAAACCCCATGTACTGTTATTTGCAGGAATGGGCTTCGCATGTATCTACAGCTGCTGCGTGAGAGAGAGAGCTAGGGCTTTTTATTTTGCACTTTCGAAACAAGCTACAAAGAAAGCATATTCTTCTATTTTTGTGATTAAGAGCGGGCCAAGTTTCGGGCCCTGTCCGTTCACAATTCCACACAAATGTCGAATTTATTATTTATTTTTAAAATTAATATAT